GGAGGGACGGAGGGACGGAGGGACGGAGGGACGGAGGGACGGAGGGACGGAGGGACGGAGGGACGGAGGGACGGACGAAGGGACGGACGAAGGGACGGATGGAGGAAGAGAGGGAGAGAGAATGAGAGAGGTGGGATCAGAAAGTACCATACTGCCGCTACCGCCCTCAAGGGGGTGCCCTCCGTGGGGGGTGAGGAGCGGCGGATGAGGGAAAAGGGGGGGTCCGCGTCATACGCGTAGAGGATTTGCAGCCCGAGCGCACGCACACTGTGTTTGTTGGTGTGTGTGCGTCTGTCGCGACGGATATTTACGGTGCGGTTTTCTTCACAATATATACTGCAGCATTGGCCGCCGTAAAAGGGGAGGGGGGGGCACTAGTGCTATGTGGGGTAGGGGTATGGCGCGCACCCCTAGCACGCCACGCGGGCGGATTCCTTGTCACCGCCCCCGGCCCGCCCCCGGCCCGAGCCCAGGCCTCACCGCACCGCGTTCGGCGGCTCACGAAAGGTGAACGCTGGTAAACGACTCTAATTACACCGCGTGCTGGCTGTTTTAAAAGCAATAAGCGGTTCAGTGTGAGAGAGAGGCGGGCGGCGACCGGGGAGGGAAAGGGGGGTGGGACACGTCCCTTTTTTTGTGCTTCGTGGAACGGCAGAACACTGGGTACACGCCGTGCAAGGTCGCTGAAGGACGTTTAAGGACGACAGTGTACAGCCAAAGGACACCCATAGGCGACGCTCTATTAAAGGGTCGTCGATGAAATACAAAAGAAAAAGAACCTTGATCACACCTTTAATAATAATGATTCTCATTTCACTTTTGAAACACCTGCAAAGTTCGTCTTTTAGACCGACAGCCGACCCTTTTATTTTAGTAGTCGTTTATGGCCTCGACGAAAACTGCGTCTTCAGCGGAACACACTGATTACTTCAACTGTGTCTCCACGCAGGGCCTTCGGTCCGGCAGGAATTCGTTCAGCTAGGTTAAGTCAGTGTCTACACAATAAATAAAGGTTCCTTGAATTTCGAAGCCCGGTCTTGGATCTTATGGGGAACGGCATATAAACATCCAAGACCAAGTCTTGAAATTCAATGAACTTTCTGGTACCACGTGATCAAATTCAGCTTCTAACGGTCCATGCCTCTCTGTCGCCAGCGCTGCCGCAGAAGGGCCCGGAGATCACGGGCCTGGAGCGGCCCGAGTACCAGATGGGCGACACCCTCAGCGTCAACTGCACCTCGGACCGCAGCTACCCGGCGGCCAAGCTGCGCTGGTACATCAACGACCGGCCGGTGGACCCGAGCCACGAGGCGCAGCTCTCGGCGCACGGCCTGGTGCGCTCGCAGGCGCGCCTCGTCGTCCGGGTGGGGCCGCAGCACTTCAAGGACGGCAGCATGGCGCTGCGCTGCGTGGCCACCATCCGGCCGCCCAACCAGCAGCAGCTGCAGCAGCAGCAGCATCAGCACGACCAGCACGAGCAGCACGAGCACCAGCGCGAGCAGCAGCAGCAGCGGCAGCCGCTGAGCGCCGCCACCGGCAGCCACTCGCAGCAGCGGGCCGAGCACGCGCCACTCTCCTCCAAGCACGGCCACCACCAGCCGCTGCCCAGGATAGCCATGGAGATCGACAACCGCGAGGCCAAGCTGTTCGGTGAGTGGCGTCCAATCGATCAGGACCACACGACCACGCCACGGTCGTCGTGGTGATGGTGATGATGATGATGATGCCGCGGAGTGACAGGGTGCGGTGCGAACGGCGCCTGACGTGCCGCTGACACTTCCGCCCGCCTAGCTCGCGTGTGTGTGTGCAGGCTTGCCGACCCCCGCCGCCGTACGCGAGTGTCTAATTCGATTAAAAGTAAAGAAAAAAGAAGACCCCCGACCCCCCCCCCCAAAAAAAAAGAACGAAATGACCCCTATCCCGCCGTGCTAAAAGGTTAGGGTCTCGTCTACCACCTACTTCTCTCTCTTTCCCTTGCATGCAATTTTTCGGTCAAACAAAACAAAAAAAAAATACGCTGCGGCTATGTACCTTGCGGACACACGTTATTGGGCGGCCATCGCCATGAGAGTCCCGAACCGGATTTTTTTGTTCAGCTTCTTTTTCTTTGTGTGTATCTGCCTGTACGCCTCTGTATTCAATGTGCGTGGGGTGCGGAGCACAGTCCGTCCGGCCGCCCGGTCCGGGCCCGGTCCCAAGCTCGCATTAGATCATCAAGCCGTCCGCGCAGAGAAAGAAGCCTTTGAAATTCAGATTTCTACATCAAAGGGCCGCCCGGGCATTTGGTGCGTTCGTTCTTCGTCACTAAGCAGCTCAGGTGACAAAATGCGGGCGCGGGGGATGGCTCTGGATGTCGTCCCCCATAAAGCGTTAACGGCAGACTGATGAGCGCGGGCCGCGAGGTGTGGAGGAGAAAGGGGGAGGGGCAGGGGGAGAATGGGAAGCACTCTTCAGGACGTTAATTGGACGCTGGATATTTTGCAACGGCGCGCTCGCTCAGACGAAAAATGGAAGCTGTGTTGCGAAAAAAATATCACTGACCGACCACAAACGAAACCGAAGAGAGCTATATGTTAAATGTCTATTGCTCGGGTGCCGTATACGATAAAACTAGCAGGCACCTCCAGCGCCAAATTATTGGCGTCGTCTACAAATCGCCAAATCTTGGCGTCTTTAAACACTAACATCCAACGTCTGTTTATCTGTTTGGCGTTCAAAGGCGCCAACCAGCGGTGTGCACCAAAGAACTTGCAATAGCAAGGTGCACAGCTTAAATTGCCTACCATGAATGACGGCTCTGACAATAAAGCATTCCGGTAAAACTAAAAAGAACAAGAATAAGGGGAACAACAAAACGGAAATCACTATGCTGAAGGGTATGGTGTCTTCCGTTTCCTTGTTCTCCGCATTTTTCTGCATTTCAGTCAGCTTTACCGGAATGCTTTATTAGCGCCTCTTCTCAATCAGGCACTCTGCAGAGTGAGCAGAATGAGACCCTTGGGCCGAGCCGGGGCGCACAGAGACATTCCGATTGACACCAACAAACGCACAACACAGGACACGACGACGTAATTTCCTTGACCAAACACCAAGTATTGACCTGGTACAAATTCGGCGTCGGCGTCCCACAGCCGACTGTCAAGTCGTCAATGCGGCCCTACATGAGGCATATGTGGAACGGGCCTTGGCCCTGATGTCCACCGGACTGGCTGCCGAGGTCACGGAGCACCGCAGAGCACTACGGGAGGCACGAGAAGGGCGAGGAGGGAGGGCTGTGGGAGCCCGGCAGCCTGGCTGGGGCACCGCACCGCTCGGCACCATGCAGATGGGCGGCGTAGGGCGGCGTGTCCCCGGGGGCTGGGCGAGCTGGAGCCGGAGCTAATCGGGTAGATATCGACTGAGCATCCCCATCACCTCTGTGCTCCCCGGTCGCTCACCCACAGCCCACAGGGCCTCGGTCACCTCCCCCACGCACAGGCCCCCGAGCAGATAGACGGTGGGAGCTGGGGAGAGAGGTCGGAGAGAGAAACGGAGAGATAAGAGATAGAGAGAGGGAGAGAGTAGAGAGACGGGGAGAGGGGGAGAGGGGAAGAGAGTAGAGAGACG